TCATGTCTTGCTTTGTATAACTACCATGCAATCCCTCTTGAATGCCTTAAGCTTTGGCCTCTCTAGCATGCCATCCTTGCTTTGTTTCAATGGTTTGGAACCACTTACCATGTTATTTCAGTCCTTATAATATGCTTGCATGCTTGCATTTAATGCTCCTTTGATGCTCTAAGAGGTTGTGTTGCATGCTCCATGTTTAAGCGTTTGTGCATGCCTCCATGTGTAGATCATTTAGATGCCATCTAGGTGGTTTTTAGGACTTGCCTTAACATGATTTAGGACTATTTTGATCTATTTTGGTCATTTGCTTCATGTGTCATATGATCATGCTTTAGGTCCTTGGACCAATTACATGCTTTGCTTGCTTTGATTAGTTGTTTAGCACCTCTTTTCTATGCAATTTCAAAGCTTAAGGTGCATGCCATTTGTCCATGATTGCATCCTCTTAAGTATGCTTGAGAGTTACTTTTGATGTTTAAAGTTTTAAGCCATGTTTGCATGCATGCTTATATATGTAGATACTTGGCTCATGACACATTGTTGCACACTTTTGTGTTGTTGCATTTGGCATGCTTTGTATCTAACATGTTGTCCATATTGCACCTTGCATGTGTGCATGTTGTTGTTACACTTTGCATGCTTGGTTAGTTGCATCTTTGCATTACTTGCTTGCATGCCCATATTGCACACTTAGGCTCACATGCTTAGGATTGCATTGAAGTGTCATTAAAAATTCATAGGCTTGTCATTCTTTGTACACCAATTGAGGACACCATGTTGTTTCCACTAGAACTCATGGAAAAATTGGCAGGTGACAGTTGGTATCCATTAGACATGGCCCTTGCAAAAGTAGATTCTATTACATTGCGTGTTCGAAGAGAAATTATAACTATTGACTTGGAGGAAATCAAAGTTCAAGTACCATTAGATGAATTGAAAGACCCACCATGTATCCCAACAGAAGACCCATTAGCAGGAGGCAGTAAGCTTCCAGTATTGATAGCCATAGATGGCATGCTATTACCACCACCGGTAGCAATCACGGAAGTATCTACAGCCGATGCAACCATCGTGCTTGAATTCTCACTATGACGCATACATGGGGTTGGTATCATTGTTCCAATAGGAGAGGGAGCATTAACAAGGTGCAGATATTGTCTGTAATGACCCCAAAACGTGGAGAAGAAATCATCTGTATTTAACTATGAGCTGAGGTGTTTTAATTTAATTATATCCTTTGGAATTGAAGCATTAACTGTTGAGCCACGACTTTAAAATTGAAATTACCGACCTTTATGGGTTCAGAAATCACAATTGAGGACTTAGATGTGTTCAT